CTCCCAAGCTTCCTGATTGATTGAATTTCCACATCTGAGGCGAGAACTGCTTCGCGCAAATGTAAATAGATAGATAGATAGATAGATAGATAGATAGATAGATGATAGATAGATAGATAGATGATAGATAGATAGATAATCAGGAGGAATAAACTTTGGGGCAGAAGCAGAACGAGAAGAAAAATAGCCCCCAAAAAGTTTAGCGAGATTGCAAAAGTTGCATTTTTTTCCTTCCCCCCTCCTTGCAAATCCATACAGCTAAAATACAGATTTCTCCCCACAAGGATAACGGGGCACATCGTATCTGCTTGTACGAGAAACTGTGCACCCTTCCAGTTGCCAAATGACCCCACACCCACTCACCCCAGACCCCCCCCTAAATACCTTGGCATCCTTCCTCTTCCTCTTCCTCCTCCTCCTCTTCTCTTCCTTCACCCCTTCCCAACCTGCCTCTGTGGCCCTCCAACGCGCCAACCGGCACAAGGCAAACTTCCGATGTTGTTGTTTACCATCCAGAGCCTTTCAACGTCACCATGCGGGTTCCATGTTGTTGTGTTCCGGCTGCCACGACCTGGCCTCGGTCGGGGGGGGGGGGAGTCACACCCCAGCAAGCCACCGCCGTGTTCAGCAGGTCAAAGTTCAAAGCTTGTTTTTGGGGGACAAGCATCCCGGCTCAAAAATGGGCCGCCATCCGATCGGAAGCTGGGCTTGGCCCAAAGAAAGCCGGAGGATTTGGACGGCTCCGAGACACCTTCCGGGCGGCGTCTCCATGGGGCAACAAAAACCTTTTCCTCCTGCTGTTGGCAGGGTGCCCCTCTCTGATCAGGTTTGGCACACAGAGCAAGAACAAAGGGACCATTCTTTGAAGCCGGGGTAGATGTTTGCAGATGGTGGCAAGCCAACAAAACGCAGCCCTCCTCCTTACTGTGAGGTGTGTCCATTGTTGCAATCCTCCAGGCGGACCGTTGATGGACTGGCCTCTCTTAAGTTTGGCCCACGTGGTGTTTTCTTTTTAATGAACCTAACATTGTTCAGCGACAACCAGTAGAAAACAAACAGCGCCGTTGCTAAGAAACGTCTCGCTTAGCCTCAGAAATTCTGGGCTCATTTATCGTAAGTTGAAGCCTCTTTCAGTGTCTTTTATGGTCTGACGAGCTACGGGAATTCCTTTTGGAGTCTCTTTTCCCACCCATTATGCAGCTGAGGGCTAAGCTGCCTCTTATCTATCTCTTATCTTACCTTCCCCTCCTTCCTCAAGGTCATTCCCACATCCCATTAAATCGCTCTCAGGATGCTGAACGCTTCTATTCTCTCAGCCATCCAGTTGCCACTGTCATGGCCTTGTTAGGGTCGGATTCTGAGGGAGAGGAGGAACAGCCAACAGCGAGTGGAGGTGTGGCTCCAGAGGTTGTGGAGGAGGCTGGGGAAGGGCAGAGGCCAGTTGGGCAGTCAGAGGAAGAACCAGACCCATCCCCTCTTCATCCTAGGACACACAGGGAGGAATGGAGAAGGAAACAACTTGGTTTACGAGAGAGGAAGCGGCCATGATCTCCCTCATTGGTTGCAGCTGGGGAGAATAGTATATAAGAGAGATGGTTAAAACACAGTGTTGCCAGAAGCAAAGTGTGTTTTATTTTGGGCTGAAGTTATCTTGGTTGGCGTCCTTTCAACAGATTGTGCCTTGTTATCTCCTTGAAGCTGGTAATTACTTATCCTGGTCCATTGTGGAAATTCCTTCATTGTAGTTTGTTTTAGTTTTTTTTTGACTTCACCTCTATTTGCTCATTAAGTTCAGACTGGATTACTTTATTTGGAAGACTATTTTTGAGTACGTTTTATCTCCAACTGAGTATTATTGAACAGTGGGGCCAAGTTGGAGGCATTAAAGGACATTTATTTACATTTTGGATTTTGTTACGTTTGTGTTATACTCTGGGTCATCACAGCCACAATATTAAAAAAAAAAAAAGAGGTTGAGACTCTGGAAAGAGTGCAGAGAAGTGCAATCAGGAGAATTAGGGGACTGGAAGCCAAAACATGGGAAGAATGGTTGCAGGAATTGGGCACGTTTCAATTTAACGAAAAGAAGGGGGACAGGATAGCAATGTTCTGATAGTTGAGGAGAAGAGGGGGGGTCAACTTATTCTCCAAAGTACCTGAAGGCAGGACAAGAAGCAACAGATGGAAACTTAATTCGAGGTCGAGAACCAACCTAGAACTAAGATAAAAAATTTCTCACAGCGAACAACAACGGAACAGCTTGCCTTCAGAAGTTGGGTTTTTAAAAAGAAGAGGTTGGATAGATATTTGTCCAGAATGGTGTAGGGGCTCCTGCTTGAGCAGGGGGTTGGACTAGGAGACCTCCAAGGTCCCTTCTAACTCTGTTATTTATTCCATTAAACACAAGGCCACACTCTACTTGACTTCAGCACCAGGGACAGCTCCTGAACGCATCAGGACCCTGGACAGCTCCCCATTTAGCCAGGAGCCAAAGAGATACACCAACATCAAAGACGATGTTATTCCAGATCTGATTTTAACCCTCTTCCTCTTGAACCCAGACCCTCTCCAGGGAAAAAAATGCTCGAGTCCCCATTGCTAAGTGACACCAGTTTTTTTTTTTTTTAAAGGGGGGGTAATGACTCCATTTTTCTTGATCACAGGAAAACCACTTTGAGAACGAAATGGATTCAGGGCACCTCATTCTTCGAACAATTCATGCCATTCCCTTATTATTATTATTATTTTATTTTGCAAAGGGAAGCTTTCATCCCCTGAACTATAAATATATTTAGAAACTTGGGGAGGCAGGAAAAACAGTTCCCATTCCTGAAAGATTTGGGGTTCTGAGAGAACCGGAGAAGATTCTTGATTCCCCCCCCCCCTTGCAAAATCAAGAAGAGATCATGAATCATTTTGGAATTCTTTCTTTGCCCCACTCCGCAGGAAGATCCAAAGAGGAAAAAAAGGGTTTCGGTCTCCGAAGAGAGCCAGAAGCCAGTTCAAACTTCTCCTTCAAGGACGTGCAAATAGTCTGTTTTTCCAAAAATAAAAATAAAAATGAGATTTCAGGAATCTTTTTGTGAGAAGCCCACAAAGGATTGCTGTTGGCTGGAAGAAGGATCAGTTGCAGCCGGTCACTGGATGGGAAGAAGTCATCACGTCCAGATGGATCAAGAGAGCTGCAGCCAGGGAGATGGAGAGACAAAGAGATGGAGAAAGAGTTGAGATTGGAAGACGAAATGGTGGGGCGAGGAGATGTGGATGCCTTTCCTTTTGGCTAAGTCGTCCATCGTGTCTCTCCAAGAGCTTCCACCACACCTGTTGAACCACACCTGCCCTGCAGGAAACAAGAGACACCTGCCCTCCACCTAGCCCATCTGCGCCAAAAGGGAAGAGAAACCCAGAAGATGAGGAGAAACGGAAGAGAGGAAAATCGAAAGCCGAGGAGATCAATGGCGATGGCTCCCTTGTGTCTTATTCTTCCTTCCAAAGGAGGCTGGAGAGGAGAAGGCCCCTTCCAAGAGAGTTTTCCCAAGAAGGAGAGCCAATGGGAGGGTCCAATTGGATCCCACAGGTAGACTCACCTGTGGCTTCTGCGTGAAGGATTCGCGCGTTGGTACTCTGCACACACCCGGACAGAAATATCTTCTTCTCTTCTACTTTCTCCACCTTGGTTTCCACGAGGACTACAGAGCCCAGCGGGATGGGGCTGGAAGGGGAAGGATGGGCCTGTCAAGGGCAGTGGATGATGGTTCTTGGCAGCTAAACCTCTCTGTGGGTTTCTCCCCTGCCTGCAGCCAAAGTCATCTCAAGTACCACCCTCCTTCCCTCTCCTTCTTTCTGAAGCATCCAGGCTGGTTGGTCTGGTTTTGTCAGCCCAAGGTGAAGGCAGAAATACAGGCTAAGAATACAGGCAGTTCATTTAGTGGCCATTCAAAGCTATGACATGACTCGGGGCCATTTTCATACTTATGACCGAGAGAGAGTTCAGAGGAAGAGCCAGGCCCACCCACTCTTCATTCTAGGGCACACAGGGAGGAACGGAGAAAGGAGCAATGTGGGTTGCGTGACTTACGGGGGAGGAAAGGGCCCTGATTCCCTTAATTAGCTGCAGCTGGAAACACAGTGTTTAAAAAGGGAAGCTGCACACAGCAAGTTGTTGGGAGCAAATCGTGAATTTATCTGGTATCGTAGAAGCTTATCTGGGTTCCTGGCGTCTTCCCAACTGCGTGTGTTTTGATGGCCTTTCAAGTCTGCAATTCCTTATCCTGCCCTGTCATCTTAATTACTGCCGTGTGGTTTGTGTGGATTTTTATTTACAGATTGTATGTATTTTGTTTTTGGACTGAATTTCCTCCACTTAAAGGCTGTTCTTGTGAGATTTTTTTTCTCCAGCCGAAGGTAACTGGACATTGGGGGCAAAGTTGGAGGTATTAAAGGCACTCTCCTTGCTTATCCGACTGTGTTGCCTTTGTGCCACGCCCCTTTGGGTCATCACAGCCTAACAGAATGGCAGACTTGGAAGGGATCCTAAAATGGGGCAAAATTCACCGCGCCGACGTCTCGCTCAGCCATGGGAAAAATTTGGGGCTCGTCATTGTGGCCGTAAGCCGAGGATCACCTCAATTGGGCGCGCAAAGAGACCCCGATCCCTGCTCACCTCTTGTAGCTCACGGAGAGGTTGGCGGTCACCACGATCCCCGAGGCACAGATGCCGCAACTGGCAAAGGTGTGATCCAGGATGGCGGCCACGGCCCCCCCGTGCACGAATCTGGATCGAATCGGGAGTCGACATCGGAAGAGGCGGAAGCGGGAAGGAGAAGAGCAACCATTAGGGGACTGGAGGCTAAAACATACGAAGAACGGTTGCGGGAACTGGGGACGTCTCGTTGGATGAAAAGAAGGACCAAGGGGTGACAGGATAGCAGGGTTCTGATATCTGAGGGGCTGCCCCAAAGAAGAGGCAGTCAAGCTCTTCTCCAAAGCACCAGAAGGCAGGATGAGAAGCAACAGATGGAAACTCATCCAGGAGAGAAGCAACCTGGAGCGAAGGAGGAATTTCCTGACAATTGAGGACAAATTAACCGATGGAACAGCTTGCCACCAGACTTTGTGGGTGCTCCATCCCTGGAGGCTTTTAAGAGGAGATTGGACTGCCATTGGTCTGAAATGGTCTAGGGTTCCTGCCTGAGCAGGGGGTTGGACTAGAAGACCTCCAAGGTCCCTCCCAACTCTGTTATTCTGATATCCTTCCTTCCTTCCTTCCTTCCTTCCTTCCTTCCTTCCCTTCTAATTCCCATCCCTTTTCCTTCCTTCCTTCCTTTCCTTCCTTCCTTCCTTCCTTCCCTCCCTCCCTCCCTCCTTTCTTCCTTCCTTTCTAATTCCCATCCCTTTTCTTTCTTTTCTTCCTTCCTTCCTTCCTTCCTTCCTTCCCCGTCTATTCCTTTCTTTCATTTCCTTCCCGTCTATTCCTTCCTTTCCTTTCCTTTCCTTTCTTTTCCTTCCTTCCTTCCTTCCTTCCTTCCTTCCCTCCCTCCCTTTCTTCCTTCCTTTCTAATTCCCATCCCTTTTCCTTCCTTCCTTCCTTCCTTCCTTCCTTCCCCCGATCCTGCAGTTTTTAAAGAAGAGACTGGACTGCCATTTGTCTGAAATGGTCTGGGGTTTCCTGCCTGGGCAGGGGGCTGGACTAGAAGACCTCCAAGGTCCCTTCCAACTCTGTTAATCTTTTAGATGTTAGAAAACAGACAGGAAGAATATCCCACCGGAGGGGGAGACGCAGGCTCCATCAACCCATCCGAGCTCACCCGATCATCCCTTCCAAATACGACCCAGTTTGGAGAGGAACTGCCATCCGTCTCTCCGAGCCATTGTAAAACATGGCAAACTCGAACCCGCGGCCTTCGGCAGCCACGTTTCGGACGAACAAGCAGGCATCTGGATGCTTTGTCGGGTTGTAGCCCAATTTGCTGAGAACTACAAATGGAGGTGGGGGAGGAAAAAAAAAAGCGAGGAAGGAAAACAAAGACATTAAAAATTGGAAAAAGGAAATTCCCTATTTTATTCGATTTGCAGTTTGGGCTAAAATAAAACAGAGCTAAGAAATGCTGCCCCCACCCCCAGAGGAGGAAAAATGATCCAGATCTAGAATATTTTTTGGGGGGGTTGGGAAATAGATTTGTTTGGGGCAGGTCACAAGGGTGGCAATTGGGAGTTAATTTTGGAACCAGGCTATGGGAGAAAAGTTGGTGCAAAATTGTCCCCGCGTTAAACTGGAACTTGGATTCTGGAATTCGCTTCCACTTCAGAGGTGAGTCTTGTTGGCTTTAATTAATTGCACCGACATTGTCTGACCCCTCAACCAGGGTCTTACACACCCATAACTTGAGTTAAGGTTTCTGGGGGTTGGAAATCCACCCATCGCCAAGTTGCCGAGTCGAGGAACACAACCCCAGACTACCACACCTTCCTTCCAAAGATGGGCAGATCTTGTAACTTGTGACGTGGTTGAGAGCCAGATCTTTCATCCTACGACCTGATAAGACATCTAAGGTGTTGTTGGTCAAGCTGGCCAAGTTGAAGATGGGTGGCGTTCAACTCCCAGAAGTCCAGCTGGTGGGGAGAATCTGGGGAGTTGGAAGGCCACCCATCTTCGCGAGGTTGAGCGACATTGCAGAGGGAAGGATCTAGAAGAACGATTATTTGGGCAGGCCTGAAGATGGAGAACTTGCCATCTTTCTAACAAGCGGACATTTGCCGGAGGAAGGCCACTCTGGGAGGAAATGCTTGGAGTGGGATAGAAAGACTGACCAGGCATGCTGTCCACGCTGTTGTTATAACTCGGGATGCGTTGCCAAGATCCATCTTCGGACATCTTTGTGAATTTTTCAAACTGGTCCATCATCTCTTGGCTCCAACTTGGGTTGGGGACGCCAAGGTCCCTGCGAAGTTGGTGGGGCTCTTGCTAGGAAACAAGGAAGGCAGGATATCTGTGTTGAGGAACCCCACTCACGCCCACAAGATATTTCAAGGCACATGGGTGGGTTACTGGAAGTCTTCAATCTTCTCTGTCCATCTCATCAGATCTCTTGGGCTCCGAGTGCCCTCTATGAATGCAGGAGCTTCAACCTTCTCTATATCCTCCAGAATCTCCTTAGGATCTCAGAACCTTTTAGATGGTCCTCCAAAACCAGGGATAGTTTATTTGGGGAGGGTGTCCTCCCCTTCCTGTTAAGCCCTCCCCAATACTCACCGTGGAGGTCCTTCTGAAGAGCACACGAGGATGCTGTGCCAAGAGCTCTTTCATTGTTGCCAGACGAGGTATCTCGGTGGCCAACCCTTTGACCGTCCGGTTGATGCTCCTCAGAATACCATGCATTCTGAATCTTCTGACCTGCTGAGCTCTTGGAAAGGGTGTCTTCTTCTTCTCAGCAGCTCTTCTTCAGGCAGAACTCAACTCCCAACAGCTTTAACAGGTTCCTCCCTTCCAACAAGCAGTGAGGAACTTCACCCAGGACCAACTGGATTTAAGCCTATCATTCCTTCCTTCCAGTGAAGACACACCTTCAAATTAGAAGGACTTGAGGAGTTTGCTCAAGTGGCTGATTTCACACCAAGATCCTCCACGATAAACATGGGTCCAGTCACCTGGTCTTAGTTCCAGATCCGTCAGCATATTTTTCACTGAGTAGATCAAAAGAGCACGTTGTTTCTTGGCAGGTTTTTCAGATATCCAGAGTTACAAGAGATATTCCCAGAGGCGTAAACAGAGATGACATACAGCTCCATCAAGCTCAGCTTGGCAGTTGGGCCTGGGTTGGGTCCTCCCATTACGGACAAAAACATCTCCCGAATGAAGGCAAATATGTGTTCCAGGATAATGACGCAAGATCGAATTTGGGTCGGAAGTGGGATGAAAGATGCACTCTTCCGAGCTTTTGGACTCACGCTAGAACCCATCCTCTGGGAACTTCTCTCTATGGGAATACGTGCCTTGGGCTGTTCTGTGACTTGTGTTTATGTGGTGCCTTCCTATTGGGAAGAGTAGTTCTCCACTCAGGGGAACCTTAAATTAAAATTAATGAATGACCGCGTATGACTTGAGGGATACGGAAATCGTCTCTCTCTTTTTCCCATCCCTGACCCGTGGCCGTTTTCCTCCTTAGCTCCCAGCAGGCATCAGGAAAATCGGGAAGAACAAGAGGAATTTGCGCAAACCAGTTCCTAAGGACAAAATAATGGCCGACACATCAAGAGCGATTACATTGATCACTCTCATTTGCGATCGCCATGCTGTTCACTCAAACCAACATGTAATCAAACACATGGGTAAAAGTAAGGTAAAGGTCAACTCATCTTCCAAAAGAAGGCAGGGCAAAGAGGTGGGCATTTAAGAGGCACTCTTTATTGTCTTATGTTAAACCAAAGTGCTCGAAATAAACACAAACTATATTTATAAAAGTGAAATACCCCTCAAGCATCATCACAAAATCTCCAGAACCATAAAGCCTCACAACAGCTTTAACAGGTTCCTCCCTTCCAACAAGCAGCGAGGAACTTCACCCGGGACCAACTGGGTTTAAGCCTATCGTTCCTTCCTTCCGGTGAAGACACATCCTCAAAATCTAGGAGGACTTGAGAAGTTTCCTCAAGTGGCTGATTTTTTTTTCTTCCTGCCATGATGTGGGCCAAGAACCTTCCACGATAAACCTGGATACATTCATCTGGCCTTAATCCCAGATCCGTGGGCACATTTTCACCCAGGAGATTGGACGGATGCCCTGACGGATGTGGAAATGGTCTCTTCTTTTTCCATCCCTGACCTGTGGCCATTTTTTTCCTCCTTAGCCCCCAGCTTTCAGGAAAAAAAAAAAAAACCAGGAAGAACAAGGAGGAAATTACACAAACTGTTTCCCAAGGACGAAACAAGAGAAGACACGCAGAGTAAATTATATTTATGGTTCTCATTGGCAATCACCACGCTGTTACTCAAACCAACAGGTAAAATAATTGTGTAAAAGTAGGGTAAGTGCTAACAATCCTTCTGTAAGGCACTCGGAAGGCAGGGCAGAGAGGCAGGCATTTAACAGGCACCCCAAAGACACAAGGCTGTGCACCCCACGGACTGTGAGCAGACCCAGGGAAGAGGCCCAGAGGTTGGTGAACGCGGGATGCTGTGATTCTCGTCACTTAGGCAGAAACCTCCTCAGGTGTCGGCGACCAAGGAGGGGAGCAACCATGTTAACACTGCCCCATTGGACAATTCAGCACCTCCTTTCCTGAAGTCACTCAACCTCATTCTCCGAAACTATCTCCGAGGTTAACAAGAGCGGGTCTCAAAAAGTGTATCTGGATATAAGGTTAGATCAGGAGTAGGCAACCCCTGGCTCTGGAGCCGCATGCGGCTCTTCCATCCCTCTGCTGTGGCTCCACAATTGATAGGGTTTTCGGTTAGGACAGGTAGAGGAAAATGGACGCCACGCTAGGAGACTCTATGATGGGGGAACCGGACTTCTGGTCGGCTCCAGAATTGACCGGGGAGCTTCCGGTTAGGACTTTTGTGGCTCTTTGAGTGTTTTAAGGTTGCCGACCCCTGGTTTAGATTATCATGTTTGAGAGTCCTCCTCTTCCTCCTCCACCCCGCAAACCGATGATGCTACAAAGTTGGGTCCTAAAATGTCTGCAAGGAAACCACCCAGTTGAGAGACGCCCGCCCCCATGAGCCCACGGTCCAATCCTGATCCAATTTTCTTCGACTCCGACCAGTTCGGAAACTCGCCTCAGAAGAAAAAATATCTACCACACGTGAAAGGGTAAAATATAAATATCCTCGAAGGGCCAAGAAAAGGGGGAGCGAGTTCGAAAGCAGCCAGAAAACACCCATTGGGTTTTAGAACCATGGCACCAAGGACAGATCTATCAGGTGACAACCTGACCAGAAATACAGTTTTTGGGATTCACGGCCTCCCGCCTCCACAACAAAGGGTGCCATGCCAAACAGGTGTGGGTTGCAGTTTTCGAAACACTGATGTTCCACCCAGTTGTGCAAAGAAGGGAGGAAACAAACCGATGAAACTCCGAGAGGGACTTGTAGTGGGAAAGTTAAGGAAGAGGAAGGCGGATCAGGAGTTGGTGCTGCGGGCATCCAGGTTGTCTGTTTTAAGGGGAGCTGCTGGAATCCGTTTCTTTCTGTGGCTGCAGTTCGATGAAGACAGCTTAAAAAAACAAAAACAGGAGAGAAACAAAGGAGATATAGACAATTTGAGGCTAGGAACATAGAATATTACTGAAAATTGTATCAGGCAATCAGGGTGGCCACTTTTAATCTATATTTCTCAACACCCGGAGAGCTTTCGGCCACGCTGCTTGGAATTCTGGGAACTGTAGTCTCGGGGTGGGGTGGGATGGAAATTCAGGTTGGAGAAGGCAGGCTGAAGTGACCCTGACGGAGACCCTACCCTAGCCATAACTTACCAGTGGCCTCTGCATGGAGCGTCTGTCCATCCACACTCAAGACTTCGCCGCTCGCAAAGATCTTCCTGCCTTCGATCTTGTCCACCCTGGTGTCCACCAGGATCACGGAGCCCAACTCCACGGGACTGAACGAAGGGGGAGAAAAAAAGGCGAATGGTTACGAGACGCCGAATTCCTCCCTTAGCAACTGTGGCAAGGTAGGTGACTTCACAAACGTTTCACGGTTGAGGGGCAGCCTGTCTTGCTGAAGGTTCCCCTCGGACATCCGTGCTAGTCGTTTCTGGCTCTAGGGGGTGCCGCTCGTCTCCGTTACAAAGCCGAAGAAGAGTCAGCGCTGTCCGAAGACGTCTCCGTGGTCATGGCATGACTAAACGCCTTTGAAGGCGCACGGAACGCTGTTATCTTCCCACCAAAGGGGTTCCTATTTTTCTACTTGCATTTTTTTTTTAACGTGCTTTCGAACTGCTAGGTTGGCAGAAGCTGGGACAAGGAACAGGAGCTCACTCCGTTCCGCAGTGCTAGGGATTCGAACCGCCAAACTTTCTGACCGATAAGCTCAGCGTCTTAGTCGCTGAGCTACCGCGTCCCCTTAAGACAACGGCCTGCCTAGACAATGCATATAAAATACTATAAAAAATATAAACAATAACATGTTTGGTGGTCAGTCTCCTCCTCCATCCCCCCAATCTTGTTAGGAGGCCGAGAGATCGACTTTGGAACAAAACCAAACCTTACAAAAATGGCTTGTTTATATTCTTATGAAAAAAAAAAAAGTTGTGATTTGATGTTTAATGCCTTATTTTACCGCACTGACTTTCAGCTCTGTTAGAATTCATTACTCTGCTAAACAAATAATTCCCTCAACACCTGTCCAACTATCTACAAAGTCTGCACTACTATTACTACTAATCTTATCATCCATCTCCTCCCACTTGTGACTGTATGACTGTAACTTTGTCACTTGTAACTTTATGATTTATATGGACTGTTTCCTAGTATGATTTGATTGCTTATTGTACCCTGTGACTATTATTAAGTGTTGGACCTGATGATTCTTGACTCTTGACGAATGTCTCTTTTCTTTTATGGACACTGAGAGCATTTGCACCAAGACAAATTCCTTGTGTGTCCAATCACACTTGGCCAATAAAGAATTATATTCTATATTCTATACTCTATTCTATTCTTTATTCTATTCTGAGAGCTAGAAGTCAGTGTTTCTTTTTTCCTTCCCCTCCTCACTTCCCTTCCCCCCTTTCCTCCCCCATTGCTTTTCTATTTACTTTTGTATTTTGTATCTTGTCTGATAACTCAATTAAAAAACGTTAAACCTGGAATAAAACAAAACCAAAAGCCTCCTTGGAATCGGCACACCTGGCCAATTCCGACTTCAATTCTCCTTCTCCCAATTCAGACCTCCTTTCGTAAGGAGGCACTGACCTCTTGTAGTTTATGTTGAGGTTAGCGGTCACCACCCTGCGGCTGATGTAGATGACGCTGGCCCCCACCGTGCTGTCCAGAATAGTGGCGATGGCCCCGCCGTGGGCAAACCTTGAGAGGCAGAATAAAATAAGAACTCAGCCACGGAGGCTTGGAGAAAGAGGGAGCTTGCAAACTCACAAGACGAGGAGGGGATTTGTGTGGGTAAAAAAAGAAAAGAAAATTGGGCGGCCTGTTTTCAGAAAGATTCAATGCCAGGGGACACTACCAAGAGATCAATATTTATTAATGATTAAACTTGTGTTTATTACATTTATTTGCCTCCCCGTCCTCCGGCTGGAGAATTCTGGGAGTTGGAAGTCCACAAGCCTTAAAGTTTCCCTGCTCTAAGTGGAGAATTCCTGGCTGCTAGAAATGAACTAATGGATGTAAAGTATGTACGTTTGCAGCTTAGAACTACGCTGGCAATTGTCCTGTTAAGATTTCAAAGCAGGGGGTTGGCCGAGAACAGTGGTGGCCAGCCAATGGGCCGGGGACCACTGGTGGTCTGCGAGAAAATTTGGGTGGTCCGCAGAGAAATGTCCCCCCACAAAGCAATTAATCCAGGCTGCGCGGGAACACAAGGCTGCACCGCCCACATGGCCCGCCTACCCGCTGGTCCCCACCCTTCGGCCGAGCGCAAACCTTACCTTGAGTAGAGCCACGCAAGGTGGAACTGGAAGGTAAGACCAATGGCGGGGGATGGAAATCCGCCCCGGGGTGGATTGCTGACGTTGGTAGGAAAGTCGGTCCCATATTCCAAAGCTGCAGTAGTCTCACAGGTCTGGCCCTTTGGTCATTCCAGAGCAGCTGCTCCTCCATTCCATGGCAGGCCGGTGCACCCGGGCGGAGGAGCAGCTGCTCCGGGACGACCAATGGGCCAGTCCTGTGAGACTACTGCAGCTCTGGAATATGGGACCGACTTCCCCGCCAATGCCGGCAAGCCACCCTCAGTCTAAAATTCATATTAGTGGCGCGCGGGGTTTAAAATCATGAGTTTGGTGGTCCCTGAGGCCCAAAAGGTTGGCGATCCCTGGGCTAGATGACCTACAAGGTGCCTTCCAACTCTATTGTGAATATTCTGATTTTTTTACACTGGATTTTTTTTTTTAAAAAAAAGTCTCACCCCGAAGGCCCCTCGAGGTAGGGCCCTATTTGGAAGACGGCCACCACCCTCTTCTCCGAAGGCTTCAGAAACATGGCGTACTCGAAGCCCTTGCCTTCCCCGTCGATACTTCGGAGAAACATGCGGTATTTTTGGTTCCGGAGCTCTTCCTTCCAGGGTCCTTCTGCAGAAGCGGCGAAAAAAGGTAACGTCAGCTGAGGTTGAAGTACAACCTCAAACAAACGCAACCGAAGCCCGACATTTCTACTGCTAAGCCAGGCAGGGTGGCTTGCCCAGTTTCATGACTTTTCTGGACTTTTCGGCTGTTGAGCGGAACCCTGGAGTTGTCAAGTTAGCCACAGGTTTGTTGTGAAGAGAGAAAGGGAAAGCAAGGAGAGAGGTAGGGAGGAGAGAGAAAGACAGAAAGATGGAAGAAAGGAAGGTAGGAGGGAAGGAAGGAGGGAAGAAAAAAGGGAAGGACAGAGAGAGAGAGAGAGAGAGAGAGAGAGAGAGAGAGAGAGAGAGAGAGAGAGAGAAAGAAAGAAAGAAAGAAAGAAAGAAAGAAAGAAAGAAAGAAAGAAAGAAAGAAAGAGGGAAAGGAAAGGAAAGGAAAGGAAAGAAAAAAAGGAAGAAAGAAAGAAAGATCACATTTTCTTGGGCAAGGATGTTTTTTTCCCCTTCCTGCTCCATCTGGGGGACTGAAAGGCCCCAAGCGAGCTGTCGGAGCCAGCCTGCAATTTTGGAGATGGGGGGGGGGGGGTTCTTAGAGGTAGACTGCCTCCGTGCGTGGAGGTTCCGCTTTGGCAT